TAAAAAAAATTTTTTTTGTATTTCATCAAAATAGCACCTACATATTCTTGAACGATAATGCCTTTTACTCGTATGAATTGATGAATCCGTTATAATGACCCAGTGGACCCTCCAGGACAACAGGTTGGGACCACTGCTTTATACCAGTTTATACTAAACTGACAGGGATGAAGAGAGTGGGCATGAGGACTTTATAAATACAGTACGGAATTCCACTTGGAAAACAAAAAACATTTATAAAGCCGATTTTAAAAACCCTTCTTACTCGCATGAATAAGCAGCAAAGATACCTTCTGTGTAGCTCTACTCGTCAAGAAGAGCTTAAAACTCAGGGAAAAGTTTCAGAATATCCACGGGAGCATGAGTTTTTGTTTCTTAAAAGCGGTTAGGGGCTGCAGAAAACACCGCCCCAGACCCTTCAGTGCTTCATTTCCCTTCACTCTGTCCTAGGGCAGAGAGAAGGGCAGAGAAAACACACTGCGTATTTTCTGACACCTTTGGCACTTTGGTTAAGTGTTTAACAATATTTTAAACATACTATCCCTTTCTTTTGATGCCCATAAAAATGTATCCCTTCTCGTGCTGTATTTTTCTCAAATGATGGAACTTTTTAGATGACAAAGTGTCCATGAGAACGCGCCCTGGGTCACTGGAAGGTCACTGCCAGGTATCCATAAGCCATCAGTCCTATGTTCTGAAGGACTTTCCGACGAGGTGAAGGCATTTTTACTGGACTACAGCACCTGCCTTGTTGGATGTTTACTTTACGTGCCTGAACAGTAGGAATGGAACGTTTTCTAAACTCCTCTGAAACTGAGCCCAGGCCTAAGCACTTCCTGGGTCCCTGCCCCCTCTAGTCAGACTTCCCCAGAACACTCCCCACCGTGAACCCACCTTCACCTTCAGATTTCCAGCTGCCTTCATTTTGTATGTGGTAGACAATACAGATTAAAAGGAAAGCCCTATGGGTAAGACAGCCTTGATCTGAACTTCAATTCTGCTATTATTAACTGCTTTAGTCTGGAAACCTTGCTTAAGTTCTCTAAGCTCTAGTCTCTTGTAAAATGGAGAGAATTCTAGTACCAACAACTCAACTGGTGGTGTGAAAATTAAATGTTACACTTGTAAGCTGAAAAGCACAGTGCCTGACACACAGAAGTACTCGATACAAGTTGGTGGCTATGGTAACGATAATGAGGATGTCCTGTTTCTACAGGCTCTTTTTTTTTTCATGGCCTCCCTGCCTCTGATGTCTGCAATCACCCCCTAAGACTGGTGACAGCAGGAGTAACATCCTAAAGACTAAAATGTCACAGTAGAAGGACTAGTCCAGCAAAGTAAAACTCACTCTATTTCCTGCTTTTTAATAAAAATGGTCAGCAGTCACCCCTGGTCATTTATATATTAAGTTAAAGGATAAAGCGAAGAAGCAGAAGAAAGAAAGGCACCAGTGTGAAGACAAGTGTTCCTCTGGTGGCAAGAACATACGGGATGTGAGCTGCAGGAAGACACGAGGAGGAGCAAAACCGCTGGTGAACAGCAACTGGAAGAAAGCAGAAGGCAGCCACGAAAGAGCAAGAGAAACGAAGACTCGAAGGAGAATTTTAGGCAAAAGGATTAATGTAGATTTACTTAGAAAAGAGAACATTTTAAGATGTGAGAGGAATGGGATTTGCTAAAGCAGGGCAGCTTGAAAGGCTACAAATGAAAAGAGCGAGGCATTCTGGAGGCTGTAAGAAGCAGTATCACGTATGAGTGAGCGAATACAACTCCCGCAAGCTAGCAGCACGAAGAGGCATATCTGCCAGGCTGGGCTGACCAACCAAAACCAACACAGAGATGTGCATGCTAACACTTACGTGCACGGCTGCATTCATTCATCTTAAATGTAGTTCAGGGGCATTGAAAGAAAAATCTATTCAGTTGTCATCATGAGCCACTTTTAAGGTCCGCCCCCTCAAAGAGTTGATCCATAGACTAATGAAGACATTAGTTTGCTTGGTTTTCTATATAATTTCCTTTTCTAATAAAGCATTTTCCCAAGCTAGAACTACCATCTTTTTCACTGAAGAGAGGTGTCTTACTAGAATCTACTAACAAAAATAAATTTAAAAATCAAGAACAGTATAATTTAAAAATCAGCTGGAATAATGTAGACTCAAAAGCTCCACATCTCTATTGGGTTACCTTTTCCCCCAAATCAAGTCAATAAGAGCCAAATGAAAAAGAGTAACTTGCTTAAAATTATAACCAACAGTTTACAAGTTGCTGAAATTTAATGTGTTTTCCAACTCAACTGCTGCTTACAAAAGAAAGCCATAAATATCATCTGAACTAGCACCAGTCTGGTGTGAAAAAAAAGTATATTGTATCAAACAGACTTGCTGTGTTATCTGTTCAAACATACCTGTACCAGTCAAAAGTCCAGCACTCTTCTTTCGTGCATAAGCGCGTAAGTGGTTGGACAGGCTAACAGCACTTGTAAACGTCGTATTGCAATGCACACATGTTCTAAGCGTCACAGGCACACCTATCGTTCAAAAGAAAACTATAATCCAGTTCTCACTTCAGAAAGGGAAATTTTCTTAGCTAAAAGCGTGAAGAAAAGCACCACAATAAAGATGGTTTAAAAAACGTTCATTGAATTAGCTTAAGATAAGGAGGGGGTATTAAGTTAACTATTAGTCGTTTGGAGTTAGTGTTTAGAGCCAACCCATGCTCTTTGGAAAGGGAGAAGCAGAATGTCTTGAACCTCTGAGCTCCTCTGGATTTAACACCTATTGTCACTTTCTTGCAGATTTCTGTGTTACGCAGATTATTTCCTAAACCTAAAATACAATCCTGTGATTTGAATAGCACAGTTCCGTTGAGAAGTTTCAAAGTTTACAACATTACCAATAAAAAAAATTAAAAAGTCTAGTTGACAAAGTGGTAATGAAAGTGTTTTACCCACAAAACCGTAAAAGGCTCAATACTAAATTAGGCTTTCTGATGAAGGCTGGGAGAAAAGGTGGTAAAACACACCACTGAACAGCTGTTAGACACAACATTTTATTCAGGGCATTTTATGTTCATTACTCTGAGTGCGCAATCAATAATGAAAGTTAATGATTTGAAGTTTTTTGCTAAAATCTTTGTGCTAAACAAATGATCAACAAGCTGACATCTTAGTCATCACGGTAAAGAAAACAAGTTGAAACAATAAACTCCTAACTTCTCAGAAAACCCTCACGCCCCCAACACATTTCAGCTGGTTTCTTCGGCATTACTGTGGTAGCCGCAAATATGCTTTCCCTCTCCGAAGGGTACTTCGGCCAGCACAGCTAACATACCTTCCTTGTATTTCCCTCTGAAAAATGTTAAAAAGTTACCTTTGAAAGACTTTCTTTGTAAAAGAGAAAGAGCCCTATTAACCAGGAGCCGATACAAGAGAAACTGTTTTTCAGACGACTGACAGTACAAGGTCATCTTCCCTCAAATCAGAACTGCGTTACAAGTACGTGGGGTATCCCAATGTCCACCCGGAGCAAGCAAAGCAACTCGCTATTGATCCACCGACCAGTGCCTTTTGCCTCAGACACACTCAACCCAGGGCTGAAATTATGAGCCCATCTAAATTCATCTTCAACATTCTTAACTTCCAAGGGAAACCTACAAAGACACAACATTTTTCTAGTCCAAAATTATAAAACCAGACTTAGGAACACCAAACAAAGCTTGGCGACTTTACCTGCCACATCATTTGCCAATACATACAAAATATTTCTTTGAAAAGAAAAACCACTGGTGCACAACCACTAAGCTAAACCATCTGTTCTGTCCCATTAGAACACCACAGTAAAATCTCAAAGCCTAAACCAATGTTCTGTACTCACAACAGTTCTCCAAAACCAAACTGTACCACGATACAATGAGAAACTGGACTGGGAGAAGTTTCTTTGGGTTAATCACAACACACAATAGATACCAATCCATTCAGTTTAAAGAGTGTTTTGTTTCACCTAAGCAGTAGGAAAACCAACAACTAAAATCTTGCAAACAGCATCACTTTGGAGCATGGCAAAAAATATGGCATCCTTGTCAGTAACACTGCTTCTGAACAATGCAACCTCCCATCCAAAGAACCAGCCCCCAGCCACAGCACATTTTATCTTTACAGGTCAGCTTTATTTATTTTTTTTTCCCCAGTTTGTTTTTGCTTTAGTTCTCACCTTACATTGAGACCAAGAGACGAGGCACAGAGAACTCTGTGCTGAGGAACATCAGTTGATGATTTATACAGAAATAACACTATAACCAACCTCTGCTCTGCAAAAAAAGCAGCTTAAATGAAAAAGGTTCTGAGAAAGTATTTTCTACACATATCCCACTACAGGAAGCGTGATTAAATTGTGTGTAAATTACATCCAATGGTCACAAACGTCCTCTTACCTGAGTGCATAGCGAAGTCCATTTTCTGTGGTTGGTACATCAGTGGACTGTCTTCATTTAATGGAAGAACACATTTCTGAACAAATCTCTTTCTTGCAGTTTGATTATGGATCTTTTGAGGAGAAACAGAAGAATTCCGCTCTTCTCCCATCCTTTTATTTTTAAGCAGTTCTATCAGTGTAAGAGACTGACTCTTTCTTCCACTGGGCAGTTCTGGTTTCGTTTCATCGTATTCATTTAAGAAACTCAGCCCTTCTTCCTCTGATGCAGACACTGATAAAGCTTCAGTCTTTAGGCCATTACGGTATGTTTCAAGAGGTATAACACTTTGAGACAGAAAGTCATCACTTGATGCGAATTTTTGAGCTACAAATGGTCTAGGAATAATACGACGACTGTTCAGTGCCTTTAAGATCTTCTCGTATTTTTCTTCGTTTTGCATCATCTCATTTAGAACACAGATGGGAGACTTGTGAGCGTCCCATTTGGTCTTTCCCAGTCTTTTTAGGTGGCCTCTAACATGATTTGATAATCCGATTTTAGTATCAAACCAACCACCACAGAGCTGACAAGTGTGTTCAGAGGTGGCTTCGGACTTCTCTATAGCTAAAAAAAAGTTTTTAAGAGTATTATCAGAATTTCTTATAAACTGGTCACCTTAAAACAAATCAACTCTAAAATATAAAATTATGTGATTCTAACAAAGACCAAATGTGAGCAAAACCTTCAAGTCCTTTGAATTCAAACACAGACATATTAGCCCAAATGATCCACATGAAAACTTACCTTTTCTAACTCGCTTAACGGGTGTTCCTGTCCCAGTCCTTTTGAAATGCTGCATTTTGTCACTTGTGGCTATTTGTTCAGGTGAAACAACATGACGGGCTTCGTAGCTCAGCCCTGCTCTGTGGAGATGTCCCCGGACATGATTTGACAGCCCAACACCTGTTTCAAATGTTGCTGGGCAGTAAGGACACGATTTCTTCTCAAGAGACAGATCAGTCCAATGAAAAACAGAACTGTGTTTTGACAATGAAGTTTCTGCATTTTCCAAATGCTGAGGATCATGTATCTCATGCAGAAAGCTATTAGTTCCAGCATCTTCGTAATATTCAAAATAAAAGCCATCGTTCTGATCATAACTAAGGGCAGTACTTTCTCCAGGCTCTTGGCCTTCCACCTTGCTTTTAAACAGTGGGAACAGGTTCACATGCTCCTGATTAATGTCACTGTAGGAGTCATCCTCCACAGTCTGGGTAGCGTAGTCACCCAGCTCAACATTGTCCCAGGAACTTTCGTCTTCTGTTTCGTAGCTATCTTTCTTTTCAGCAGAATTGAGTTTCTGCAAAACAACAACGGTCATTTTATGCAAGAAATCTGGATAGCTGTCCAAGTCTTCTCCTCCAACAGAACTTTCCTTCTTGGATTCCTTAACTGCTCTCCTCACAGCTACACGCCTGTGGTCTTTGAAGCTTTCTGGCCTTTTGGTGTCAGAGTTGTGAGGGTCTGAAATAAAACTATTGTTGTGAGAATTACTTGATGATGAAAACAGATGCAGAGAATTCAACGAAGTAGCTTCTTTTTTGAAATGTAGAGGATATGATTCACCTGATTTTTTGATCATCCTGTAGTTCTCATATTTATGTCTGTATAAATAGTTGCTGTTTGCCTTGGCATTAGATTTGTCTTTTGCTGCTGGATGGAAATACTTGGGTTTTTGGTCAGCGCTGCTTTTAGCTGTAACAGCCTCGGGGGGAGAGTTTCTCTGAGCGCCCACACCGACCCCTGGCTGAGCGATGCTCTTTCGAGCCTTCTGTATCCTGTGTGGCCGCTTATGGAGTTTTGAAAAATTACTGGATTGTGAGGATGATCCAAATGTTCGCTTCACATCTTGTTTTAAAGCAGAGTTCTTTGGAAATGTTGCTGACTGTTGTTTAGCTAATGGTTTAGGACTGTCGATATCTACAGGTTCTTCGAGGATGTCACTTTTTCTTTTATCAAGTCCCAGAGGGCTGCCAAATGAGTCAACACATGATGACGAATGCAAGTACTCTGTGTGTTTTTTTAAAATACTTCTGGCTGAAGCAGTGAAAGGACACATCTTACATATGTAAGTAGCTGACTTTTTGGATGATCCAGTAACAGGGTCTTTCATGAAAGTCTTTTTTTGCGTTTTTCTCTGCGCCACGTCAGAACTGACGATAGGGCATTTTACCACTGCCCCGTGGGCAATTCCTCGATGGCATTCCAACTCATTTTCTGTCACGGCCATGAAGTTGCACTCCTCACAGCAGTAGTACCTTTTGTCTTTTTCATGAGTCTTAGCATGCTGCACAAACGTTTTAGGGCAGTTGGTACCAAACACACACTGAGGGCACTGAAGCCGTGCACTTCTCCCTTCATCCTGAAG